TTTAAAATCTTTCCTTGTAGACTTGATGAACTTCCGACAACTTGAGATTTCAATCAATGAGTGATAATTGCATTTTTAATAATCAACGCAAAATTATGTCACAAGATCAAACATTAATTAAAGCATTCCATGTGATGTTCTCATCATTAAAATAAATAAATTAATAAATGTATAGCAAAAATTTTCTTCTTTTTTTTTTTTAAATGCATCCCTATGTTTGATGCTTATCATTTCATAAATTATTGAGGCTACCTAAGTACACCTAGTTTTAAGATAAGTTGTTATCATGTTCTCGGGCATGTAAGTGTTTTAGTTAAAAAATTAAAAAGTTATTAGAAAAATCAAAAAGCCTATAACCTATACTAAAAAGTCAAAGATTTTCTTTTCTTTCTACTTTTTACACATCTTTTCGTAAAAAATTAAAAAGTCATTTCAAACATACTACTAGTTTTTTACCTCATATTTTAATCAAAAAGCCAAAAAGTTTCTAAAATAGTCTGCTTCCAAATGAAAAATAGTACAGTGAACACATGTCACAGGTTGGGTTGATAAAAAAATAAATAAATACTATAGGCCCCAAATTTTCTACCAAATAAATGACCAAATGTTTTACATAGATTTGGAGTCTACAAAATTGTGGACCCCATAATGATGTAAGACATTTTGTCATTTATTTGGTAAAAGATTTGATATCTCTAGCATTACCTTAAAAAAAATAAGTACAAATTTGATTATTAGTGCATGTAATTTAAATAAAGTGTCACTTTAGTTCTTATATTTGTAGTTTGAATAATTTGGTCGATTTTTGAGACTAATGACGTAATTTTCACCTTTAAAAATATGAAAATCAAAGTAAAATATTACTCAAATTAAAGAGACTAGTAGTATAATTTAACTAATATATATATAGACAGGGTGCTTGACCTTCTTTCTTCAGTCTAAAAAGTTCACAATCCTTGTCTAAGATGTTATCAATGACCACTCAATTCAACTCTCATTTGGCAATACTCAATAATGTAAATTTTTTTGGCACTTTCAAAACCTTCATTTTCCAACTGTACAAATTGAATTTATTGGCCGAATCATTCTATTTGGTTTTGAATTTTTAAAAACTGTTTTTGAGTTTTTTATTATTTTTGTTTTTCATGTTTGTTTGTTTGTAGTGAATTTTTTTTTAAAAAATATTTTAATCATAGTTTTTTTATAAGGTAGAAATTAGAGTGTAAATTTGGCATTAGTTAGTGTTTATTGATATGCTCTCTTTGTTTTTTGTTGGAGCACTTCCTTCAAACTTTTTCACTGTGGATGATGCAGAGGACACAACCCTATCACTGAGGAAATCATTGCACTAACACATAATTTCTTATTCATAATGCGTATCTAAGTCTCACAATAATACATATAAATGGATGATCTAACAAGCAACCTATAGCCTATTGGACATGTTAAAATGCTTCCAACACAATTATATGAATTACTTTTGTGGGCTTGCCACTTGTCCACTTTTGGTATTGAGCAACATTATTTGCACTAAAATTCGTACTAAAAATAATAATCTTATGCATCTAGAACTAACTACTCAAAACTTATCCCAAATTGGAGTATATGATTGAGATTGAATTTATATAGAGTAGGATAAATTTGAAAACCACAAGATGATAATTCTGAATACTTTGTAGGTTATGGGTAATTTCTCGATTAAATTTCTACGTTTGTAGTATTACTTAACTAAAAATTTAACAAAAAACATGTGTGTCCAAATATTGTTACTTTTTTTACAACCAATTATATTTGGCCTTCTATATTTTTAGTGAGAGTATTAGTGCCTGTAAAATTATTCTTTTGTGTTCTATAATTTGCATACATATTTATGCAACATGTAGTATATATTCTGAAATTATCTAATCGTGAAAATATTACAATTTAGATGTATAAAAGTCTAGAAATGTTATATATTACTTATTTTTGTTAACATTTTGTATTACCATCTATATAGATGCTTCTTATTGGTTCATTAGGATATGTAATATATAATTGTGCTCATAAAATATTTTGGGTCATATTATTCAAAAAGCACATGCATTAAAACGAATTCTTTCATTTTTTTAATGACAAGCAACCTCTTCAAAACATAATCACTTTTGATCTATCTCTCTGCAAGATAAATTATGGATACTTTTTTTAGCAAACCTCCGATGGCCTTTTAGGATTACTCGAACCCAAAACTTTAGATCTTATATTCAAGTTTTTACCGTTGAACCGTGTTATAAGTTACAGATACATGAAATCACCCTAAAAGCAACATGTAAAGGATGAGTTTAGTGGGAAAAAAAAGTGGAATAAGATCATTTTCCTCATTTGTCTAGAGTTGCATTTGATTTTAATCTCTTTCAAGATGTATAATGATGTATAATCTGTGAAGCAATTTGTCTACTTGACAATCATTTCAACAATAGAAAGAAGTGTAGTGACTTCAAACATACCAAGACACATCAATTCAGAATAATATTGTATATTCAAAAAATTTATTTAGAAATATTACTATATAGTTCAAATTTATTATTGACATAAATTTCACAATACATCAACTAAATTTCAATCAAACTGCTCCTTTCATGATAAGTTTGCTGACAAATTTTCATGTTAAGTAAAAATTTCTATCAATCCCTTGTTGGGATATGCCCAATCAAAGATTTCAAATATTGCATTAGGGCTACGTGTAACATCATCACCAATCAAGCATGGACACATTTCAATTTGTAGCTCTCTTTCATTGTTATTTGCTTTTGTAATTTAGATTAATGAGGCAAATTTTGAAAATGAATATCATATCAAATTGGAAATTTACGTGGACAAATGAGAATGCAACACATATGTTGTCTAGTTTGTTTATGGGAGTAGACAAGTCATATCTGTATAATAAGTGACATAGTGAATGTTAGCTTTGATGTGTTTTTGTATTTTCATGAGACAATGCCCCCTAACAACTCTTCTACCAGCCAGCATGATTATATGTTTAGGTGATTGTGTGATACTTGAGATTATAAAAATATTATATTAGAAGCATTATTTAAGTTTTTGTATTTTTTAAAATTGGCAATACAAAAGTTATTAAAGATGAATTATTTGATGCTATTGAAATATTATTTCAATACTTCTAAGAGTCACATGATAAACTCCTTGCATTTAGGTCGACCTTTATATAATTGTGTTACATTCAACAACATTGAGACAATGCACTAAGACCACCAAATAACTTCTTAATAATACATAGCAATAGATGTCTTACGTTTAAGATTGAGGAAATAAAAACTTTATTTGATGCTCTTGGGACAATGCCTCAATGCTCTTAAGAGCACACGATCATGCGAGTTCCTACATTTTGGGACAAGCTAGCCCTATGTAGCATTCAAGGGCATTGCAACATTGTCCCAACACCAAGGTCACCCTGTGCAGGTGGGCAAGGTTGTGGCTTTGGGATTCCCAAATTTTATTTAAAAAATAAAACTTCTAAATAATTTTAACCCTTATAGTATTAGAGTTTAAAAAAATATAAAATAAAAAACTCAATTGAAATGGTGAATTATTTAAAAATAATAAATGATTATTTTCCAAATGCATGGTTTATAACATATGTTTATTATCAGTTGCAATTTACAATGCGGTACTTACCATTTTACTGAGGGGTTTTTTAAAAAAAATATGTATATAAGAAGCTTTTAGGGTTCATCAAATAATTTATCGAGAAAATTACTAAGGGCATCATGAAATTTTTCCTTGGGCATACCAGTTCTTATGTGGAGACACTATGCAATACACCAATGGCCCGTTCAACACATTCCATTGTTTTTGGGGTCTTGAAAAAATATTTAATTCATAGGATTTAATTGTTCTGAAATTTTAAACCTATTTAATTTTCAAGCTGAGTTTAGGATGAGTTTTAACACAGCCCAGCCTAGCCATTTATAAAATTCTAGTTTTAATTTTATTTTAACAAATTTCATTTGTAAAATAAATATGATTTTTTAACAAATGTACAGATATTTTTTTTTATCTTTTATTATTTTTTATAATCTAATAGCCTATACCTATATTGGGTAAAATGGGTGGGGTAGAAGTTTAAAAGTTCTTTTGGGCTAAGCTTAGAATGGTTAGATTAGTGTCAATGTGGGATTGGGCAGACTTGAAATTATACATATACTCTTACACTATGTTTGGTAACCTAGGAGAAAAAAGAAAAGAAATGATTACTTAAGTTATAAGATAAAAGAAAAGAAAGCAAATGATTGTGATTTCTCTCCTTTTTGTTTGGATAAGGAAGAAATAAAAAAAAAGAAATGATTGTGATTTCTCTCATTCTTGTTTGGTTAGATTTCATTAAGGGAAAAGAAAAGAAATTATTTTATGTTATATTACCAAAATAACTTTTTTTATATTTTCAATCATTTCATCTTTTTTATTTTTATAGGGACAAAATTAGTATTATAAAAATAATGGTTTCTTTTCTCTCTCAATCTCTCTACTTTTGAGAAGATTGAAAATGAGACTTATAAGAGAAATGAATTTCTCTCAATTTCTCTTCATTTCTTCTCATTTCTCTCTACTTAGATTATCCAAACAAGTAAGAGAAATACATATATCTCCATTTCTTTTCTTTTCTCTCCAAATCACTCAATCCAAACATAACTTTAGTGCAAGCCCGAATCAAGAAACTAGATTTGGGTGATCATTTTCAAAATGGCCCATTCCATGTACTAAAAAGCCTACTTGCTTCTTAGGAGCAATTTCATGGGTACAAATGGTTCACTAAATTTTCCTTCAATTCAGTTTTGGATTGAGCAAATTGTTTGTTTTCATAGAAGACAATTTATCAATATTATGAAAATACTCACTGAATATTCATTTTGCTAAAAGAGTCCAACAACCACACGATCAAGGGAACTCAAACTCAAACTCAAACTCAAACTCAAAATCTCAGCAACCGAGATACTAAAACATCATATACTAACACCGCCATCGACCAAATGCAATTAAACAATTGAGTATTAGCAACAAACAACAATGTTCATACTCCCTGTCGGTCTAATTAAACACATCTTAAATACCATTTTCAACTCCCAAAAAAAGAGGGGAAATTTTTTCTGCATCCAACTCAATTCACACCTGGAGCACAAGTTGAATGAAAATGACTTCTATTTACATTTTCATGTCTCTGTCAGTAAATAATTCTGCTATCTGTCAACATCAGTAGAAATGTTAGTGTTGATCTGCTATTATTAGTTCTTTGTTTGGTTAACAGGAAAGTTTTCTTCCGGTTGCTTTTGCCATAAATAGTTGGCAGCTTCTATCCACCATGGATTGACCAGAAACTTCTCTTGAACAGCCCAACGAGACTTCTCTGTTCCAGTGTCCGTGGAGATCACGTGTGTCACCAATGAATCAACTTCCGTCAAGCATATAGCTCCCAACTGCTCAGCCATCTTCCAAAGACTCTGATTTTCAGCCTGGAATTTAGTTGGAAAAACCCGGCTAAACACAACCTTACAGCCCTTTAAAACTTCCTTCCGAACTGTTTTCATCACCTTGCCAGAATTATCAGACAAAGATGATATGATAACCATCAAAAAATCGAAAACCCTCATTTTTGGAGCTCTCAATGCAATTGATACTTTAATAGAACATATTGGACGCTTATTGAAACATAAAATGTAGAGACAATGAAGGAAACTAATGAGAATCATTTGTGGATTACTATAGGTTTCACACAGGAAATGCATAAAAAACGCACCACGTATTTCATTTTCTTAGATTAGTTTCCAAGTAGTTTATGTGGAGTTCCTTCCCAGTTTCTCATTAGTTTCTTTGGAATATCCCCGTAGTTTCTGGCTTTATTGGATGTGTCGGGGCAGGTTTGGCATGGGTTCAAGGGGTTTACCTACTAAACCAGTTGAAAAAATTGCATTATATTACAAGCACCAGGTGGTTTGGTTTTACATTCCAGTAACCATACACCGTGTTACATGGACTCAAGTACGGATGTGAGGTGTAGATATTCGCTAAGTATCTGCATCATCTAATCCCATGTCCAAGGACACAGGGATGCAACAAAAATTCATATATCTTAATTTACTTCTTTTATATTCTAGGGTAAAATAGTGTTTTTGCCAAACGGCAACAAAAGAAAATTAACATAAAAGAGAAAAAAGGGATTACAAGAGAGTCGGAGGACAAGAAGTCCTCTAAAAAGGAAAAAAAGAAAAAAAAAGAAAAAAGAAAAATCCAACAAAACAAACTAAAAAACAACATAAGAGTCCATATCACATAGGGCACACATGAGAGGTAGCTATGCAATATATTAGATTTATTAACTGCATTAGCCGGGTTAAGGTTATACCATCTGTTATGAAGGAATGCAGCACCAAAAAAATAACTCAATTTTAAAACGAAGCCAGCAAAACAAAACAAATTAAAACCAAAAATAGCCACCAAGAGATCAAACACAGTTGCCATAAGAAACTTTACCTGCCTCACATCTCTCTCTAAAAGATTAACCCCAAGTTCTTGTAAGACGGTGCTCAGTCAGTGATCAAGCTTACCAAAGATAATATAGCAAATTGAAAAAAGACATAGGAAGAAAACATACTGAGTCAAAGAATGTACTATGTATCTGCTTAAGGGCTGTAAGGATGGAAGCAAGTGCTCCATCAGTATCACTTTCATCACTTTTCAACTCAGAAAGAGATCTACAATTGAAGCCAAAATGTCGACAACTCGAAGCAAAGAAATGATATCTTTCCATCAGTATCAGGTTCTCCTTGTGCTTTGCCCACACCTAAAATAATAAAAAAAATCAAGCATGCTTAACTTCATACTTGAATAAAGTACAATGCAACTACATCTTCAGATAAATTTGTATACACTTACACATGTAATTTGATACACAACAGAACTAACATTATAATATATACATATATATATATATGTGTGTGTGAGAAAGAGAGAAGTGCTGGAAACATCCATCGAGGGGTTTTTCTAAAATTACGTCTTTCTATAAAATGTACAATGCTAAACTCTTTTTTTCTGTGGTGGAGGCGGATGTCACAACCAATTGATGCTTTTAAACCTATTTTACTCATTTTTCTGATCAGTTCAAAACTTGAAGAGGTTGCATCACAAGTAAATTAGAGAGAGAGAGAGAGAGAGAGAGCAGAGCAGAGGCCAGGGTGCAAGTTAAAACACCACTGGAAATAGGCAATTTCCCATAATTTCACCAAAGCAATCTCGATTTTAGATTCGACAATCACCAGTGATAATGTCATGGAAGTTTATTAGCAAAAATGCCCCAAAATACTCTCCATGGTTAGCCTTATAAACAAAAGATTTTTTCATCACTTCCTTATCACATATGAGTTCTAAGTACAAGAAACCAAATATCAAAATATCATTTAATGGATGGAGATACGCTGGTCAAAAAAGATAGTGTCCTTCAAAACTCATCAGGACACAATACAATTTTTTTTTTGACACCAATTCAAGTTGCTTCTTAATTTCAACTTTGGTGTATGCCAAGGGAATTTATTTCACAGAATTTCACACTTCACAAAGGTAAACAGCCATCACTTTGATCTTCAACATGCCTGTTGCAGCTAATTCTTGCAGAAAAAAGAACATATTACTAAACAATAAGCTAGCCATCGATAATAGAAAACCACTCTTTCAATTTAGTATTATAGTACAGGCACTCAGCATGCAAAAGCTTTTGTTAATAGACCACCAAGTTTCTGTACTAATGACCACAAGCAGATTGAAGAAACTTCATCCACGACCATAGAAAAGCCTGACAAACAATAGCATGATGCTCATGAGAGCTCCCATAATAAATTATGAAGTCAATGGTATCTTTTGTTTAAAACACGTCTACGCAAATTGTTAAGAAGAACAATAGCAGATAACGAAAAGAATAGCAACAAGGAATTGTAACAACTGATACTGGTGAATAGCAAGATCCCAGCAGAAATTTTTTCATGAATAAATAATACTACACAAACATGAACCACAAGAGAGTGCGAAAGGAGCCAACAATTAAGAGTTAAGGCATAAATAGATTATAGCTGATTATTTACATACTTGCTGGTTCTGTATCGTCAAGGATCAGAACAGCACTTTCCTGCCCCAGCACCACATCAAGACCCTTTTGATGTCTCTGAGTACAATCATCTTGTGCAATGACTCTAGAACTGAAGTATATTTTTTCGGGATCCAGCAATTTTGCCATTTCCAAAGCATAGGAGCATTCACCCATTGTGTATATATACATCTCAAACAAGTTGCTTGCTTCTTTCAAGAAGGTGCGAACAAAGGGCCTCAATTTGGTCATCATATGCATGGAGTCCAATCTGAATAAGCTGCCTCTTGAAACATCTACGCATTTCGTATTCTAGTTCCATAAAGATACACGTACAAGGTCCAAATTATGATTATAGGTGACATCAACAAATATATCCAAGGATAATAAAGAAGCAGCATATTTGTACCTTTCCATATCAGAATAACCATACAAAGACAAAAGTTTGAACAAATTGATAGGTAATCAATTTGATCAAAGCCTGTGATAACTTTCCAAGGATCAGCAGAACAAGAGAACTATGCTATACTCAGTTTGTAGGTCTAAATTTGAAACAGATCACACAACAACAAAGGATGACAGCACATATAACATAGGAGCATTGAAGTATTCAACTGTAAAGAAACCAACCGAAATCCTCTACCTAGCATTTGAACCAAGTCCTTCGAAGTATCATGTGTCACTTATAGCCTCTGCCATAATTGTGGCTGTGTTGAACTCTATGTTACTTAGAACGCAGAACGGGAACGTAGAACGCAGAACGCCACATGCTCTAAAATGTGGTACGAAAGATGGATTTGAGGTTGTTTAAATATGTATAATATGTCTGTCATTGTCAATGGAAAGACTTGAAACTCTTTTAGGCTGTGTTTGGTTCATGGATTTGGGAAGGGATTTGGAAAGAGAAAAGGAAAAAATGTGTAAAATTAAGTGAAATGTAGGTATATTTTATTCTCATTTCACTGTCCTTTTTCCTTTCCCTTTCCAACTCCCTTTTCCAAATCTCCCCAAATCCTTGAACCAAACACAGCCTTAAGGGCTCCAGAGGTTTAATGCATGGTGATCCACTTTCTCCTTTTCATTTTTTACTGGTTGCGGATGTGTTGGGTGATTGACAGAGCTAGAAAGTCTGGTTTAGTTGATGGTTTTGTGGTTGAGGGATGGGATTTGTGTCTCTCACCTACAGCATGTGAATGACAACACTATCTTCTTTTTTTCGAGGGAGAAAAGCAAGGTCAGGTGCTCATTATCTTAGTTGAGGATTTTTGAACTTGAGTCAAGTAGTGTACTGGTCATCAACATGCAGCAAAGTAGTGCGAAGAGGATAGCGGGCATTCGAGGTTGTACCACTGAGAGTCTTCCCTTTAAGTACTTGGGACTGCCATTAGGAGACAATCCAAAAACTGAGTCATTTTGGTCTTCTGTATTAGAAAAGATTGGAAAGCGCCTACAGTGGTGGAAGAGAGCTATGTTATCAAGAAGGGGGAGATACACTTTGGTACTATCAATGTTTAAGTAGTATTCCAATTTATTATCTATCTTTATTTAAGATTTTGGTTAGAGTTGCAAACAAGATTGAGAAACTGATGAGGGTTTTCGGTTTTTTTTTTTTTTTTTTTTTTTTTTTTTTTTTTTGGTAAGGTAAGAATAAGGGAAAGAAGAATCTCTTGGTAGGTTGGGAGATTGTTTCTCTTCCAATGGAGAAAGGGGGTTTAGCTATTGGTAAAATCGTGTCTAGGAACATTGCTCTTCTCGAAAAGTGGTTATGGAGATTTCCCATTGAGAGTAATTCATTATAGCACTCTATTATTAAAAGTATGGGGTGCAAGCTTATGAGAAAGATCCTCATGTGGTTAGTAGGGGTGATAGTCGAGCTCTGTAGAAATTTATATTTCATGTTCTTCCATTAATGTCTAGATTTTTTCCATTGAAAGTGGATAACGGGGAGAGCATTCCTTTTTTGAAGATGTTTGGGCATAGCTATTGGTAAAATCATGTCTAGGAACATTGCTCTTCTCGAAAAGTGGTTATGGAGATTTCCCATTGAGAGTAATTCATTATAGCACTCTATTATTAAGAGTAAGTATGGGGTGCAAGCTTATGAGAAAGATCCTCATGTGGTTAGTAGGGGTGATAGTCGAGCTCTGTAGAAATTTATATTTCATGTTCTTCCATTAATGTCTAGATTTTTTCCATTGAAAGTGGATAACGGGGAGAGCATTCCTTTTTTGAAGATGTTTGGGCAGCGAATTCTTCCTTTGATTTGACATTTTTTAATTTATAAAGGATGGTTCGGCCTCATTTTGTTTCCATTGCTTCCTTGGCTTCCTCTTGTCTGGCACTGATTTCTTGGGAATTGCATTTCACTAGTAGTCTTAATGATACAAAAAATTTTGTACTGGCAATCTTTCTCGTCTTTACACAAGTGAGTTTCTTTATATCCAAATATGTGTGACAAGCAGGTTTGGTTCGTTCATCCATCCAGTATCTTTTCAAGCAAGTCTTTCTTTGATAAACTTGTTGATGAGCTTTTAATTTTCATAATTGAAAACTGATCATGCCTCTTAAAGTAAAGATCTTTATGTGGCCTTTGCCCCATGGTAGCATCTTCATTAATGATATATTTTAACGAAGGAAACCTAATCGCTATCTTTGTCCTCAATGGTGCATCATGTGTAGGATGGAAGGGAAATCTTTGAATCATCTTTTCTTGCATTGTTCAAGCCTCAGTACCAGTGGAGATCTCAACTAAAAAGCCTAGGCCCTATCCCCAACCTAGGTTCAAAGACCCAAGGCATAACTTAACTTGACTCCCAAGCGGCTATCAAGAAATGTCTCATTATGTCTATTATGGTTGGTTAACATTAACGACCAAGGAACACACAAAGTGATACTATCCCTTGCCTGCTCGGTTGTACACCATTATAATGCCGAGATGTTTGTCACTTGGTGGCATGCTTGGTGATTCCTACACCTACTTGTCCTATCATGTGTCATGTTCATGTACATATGTTCTAGAGATATCCAGTACCCACAATAATCATCTTTCCAAATAGCGCAATAGCAATCCTATTGGTTTAGTAAATATATAGTAAGCAAAGCTGTAAATTTTGAAATTTCCTTTCCTTAGCACATTCAAAGCACAAAATAATCATTTTGACAGAAATTTAATCTTCCAAATCATAATTAAAGAACATTAGAAGAAAGTGTGTTGGTAATTTCCCTTTTACAAAGACTTAAAAAGTTTTCCGCATGAAACTATGCTATAGTTGATGTTAGAATTTACCATCACTTACCACCACTACCACCTCACCTACTCCACTAAACCTAACCCACTACACCACTACCACCTCACCTACTCCACTAAACCTAACCCACTACACCACTATCACCATCCACTACACACCATCCACTACACCTACATCTATATAAGGAACCATTTGTAATAGACAGAAATAAACACAAATACATCAATCAATAATACAATTCTCTTTATACATTAAATTTCAACAGTTGATTAGTTTTGTGTCATCTAAAGAAAATTTTACCTAATCCAAAAAGAATGGTACCATAAAGTTAAGCTGCATAATATTAAGTTATTACTATGTACAACAGAGATAAAGTTTCTCCTACAAGAACCACAAAACTATTGCAAAACAACTTCAAGTACCAAAGCAAAAGTACAAAAACTGTCAACACACTATACCTTCTATAGAATCTGTTTGGCTCTTTAAGTATTCCTCATTTGGTATGATATCTAGAAGCCGGGTTGAATTAAGCAGTGTGTGATCTAAATCAAGAACCAAGTAAAGCTTTTTATGACCTGAAAGATTCTTCAAGTCTCTGTTCCGTAATCGAGCGATTTCGTCATTACCAAGCTTTAAGTCCTGCAAGCACAAATTATTCTCCATTTAAGCGAAAGCTAAATCAAGAAAGAGAAGAAAGAACTATGAATATCTAGTATAGTCAAGCCGACTAAATCATATATATGGTATAGTCAAATTTTTGCACATACTTCATAAAATTAGATGGATTCATAAAACATCTATAGCTGTTTTCCTTCCCATACTCAATTCATTCAAAATATTTAAAATGTAACTTAATGGATAATGGTACCAGATAGAAGATCATAGCTGATAGAAGGAACATAATTCCTCAATATACCAAATTGAAGGGGAAGAACCAGTTAAAAAGAAAAAATATTTATATAAATACATAGGTGTCCACACAAAATAGCAATTTTAACAATTATGTCTGGTGGATTCAAAGAGGGTAACCTTATGTATATACCCAAATCGTACTACAGCATCATCCTCCATCACTTGCCCACATAGTAAACACATTCCACGAAAAAAACCAGGATGTGTACATATATCCTTCTTAACAGAAGTTTCTGCACAAAAATTATCAAGTTAGAAAATACAGTATCAGGCCAAATACCAACTCTGTGAAAGTGTGGCCAAATGGTAGGTAGATGCAAATGTAATACGGAAACATAATTCTTCTAAACAGATGAGTTATAGAAAGACATAAAAGTATTCTTTGAGTAGTAAAAGATGCACTGCAGCATGACCAAAACACCACCCGACAGGATATCAAAGAAATGAAAGACAGTGTGTGTGTGTGTGTGTGTGTGCACGTGCGTGTGAGAAAGAAGCATAATTTCATAAACCTAGTATCTTTTGTTAAAATCCACCTACTCTCCACCTACTTCACCCACTTAAACCTACTCCACTAAACCTAACCCACTACACCACTACCACCTCACCTACTCCACTAAACCTAACCCACTACACCACTACCACCTCCACTTCACCTACTCCTTACCTACTACACACTCACCCTCTTCTATATATAGGAATCATGAATCATTGTAATATATATCAATACATGAATCAATAATACAATTCTTTATTTCTCTTTATACATTAAATTTCTACATCTTTGTTTCAGTGCAGGCTGGCAAAAAGCTATTAACATTTATGAAATGTGACCTTGTCCAGATTGATTCCTTATCATAACTCCAAAATCATCTATGGTGAGGAATGTAATATAATGTGAAAGATATCCAAACCAGTAAGTTATCTGGCACAAGGTAAACGTTTACATCCAATCAAACACTTGGTTCTGACCTCCAAACTAACGAGGGCAAAAACTCATAGCATACGACAATCCTCGTGTTTGCCTTAAAATGAAAGATTTTGTATACCTTGAAGGATGTGTTCCCCATGACATACAAAACCAAGATTTCTTATATGACACGTGTTCCACATCAAGATATAATGATGCTAAGCACTATTGACATCCAAGTCAACAATGAGAGATATGGCATCCTTCATGACCTTGATCAAGCTAACAATGATCAATATTATCAAAAACATTCTCAACAGAAGATTGGAAGAAATCACAACAATTAGAAAGACGACATAACAGATGGAAAGGATAATTTGACTTCCTTTTTCCCCTTATGCAGCTACATGAGACAATGAGAACAAGAAATGATAAGCTATTTAACATGAGTCTTAAAATGCAAAAAGATATGCACAATCAAACCTAGGTTGGGGTAGAGTAGAGGTTATTTTTTGTTAATTGTTAAGTAAATGTATCAAATGATTGCAATCAACACTATGGGTTGCACAATGAATGAATTCTTTCCTCTACCATAGAACACTACAAATTTTCAACAACGAAATGGACCCTAGAAAACAACAATAACTATGTCACCCAATTTTAATATTACTATTACCCAATAAAACTTTACAATATCGTGTTGGTTGACTTTGGTTGACTTTGGCATACACATGCCTCAGGTGAAGAGCATTAAGAATTGAAAAATGACAGAAATAATACTACTACTAATGTTTTGTACCAAAAATAATAATAAGATTAATAATACAAAACAAGAAACACCTAGTTAAAACTAAAACAAGGTCTCTATCAACACCCTCAAGTCATTTTTCAGCTCAAGTAAAATTAAACACATTCATATCTTAGTGAGCTTACAAGGTAGCAACCGAGGAAGAAAAAAAATTACGCATCAAACATGACAAGTATTGACGATAATGTACCCAACTGAACTAGAAAATATCACCTAAACTTTCTTCTGCTTCTACGTGTGGAGTCAAACCCTCAGGATCCTTCATGCTTTCCAACATCTCCACCTTCCGCCTTTTAACCCTACAAGATTTAAATATTCAGAACGCACAAACATGAATATCAATTTTATCATTCTCTCCCTTGCAGGTGATAACTATAGATATGAGCAAGATTTGGATGATATTATCTACTATTTGACTTTTCTAAACCTACATCTTCGCCTTTGCAGATTTAGCTAAAAACATCACATACAAAGTTCAGGTACTTTGTACATCATTCATCAAAAACCATACAGAATTGTAAACTAAAGAAGAAATGAAGGTCAATATATATAGTTTCACATTTATAGATAACATTGAATTCATAAACAAAATTTAAATACTCCAGCTAAATAGCTACAACAATGTAGTGTACAACAAGAAGAACCAGAAGAAGACTAGTGTGTACCCTCTCAAGTGCATGGCACCTGTACACTATATTCATGCCTACAGTACATTAATAAGCTATAGAAGACCTTATCACTACCATATTTGGATTTTATAATATCTAAAATTGTATGTAAAAAGGTTATCTCTAACTTTTGTTGCATTTACCGGAACTGTAAACCCAAACTTAAACATTAAAAAACAAAAAGAAAACATACACACAAAAATAAATAAACAAAAAACAAAAAGAATAAAGAAACCAAGACGGACCACCCTTTGTCAGTTCTAAGCTTTTTCACTATGAAACCAGAATGAATACAATCAAGACCGAACCAAATCAACCCAATTGAATCAGGTTGTTTTGGATTGAGTCACATAGAGCAGCCTAACGAGCACAAGAAAAATGAGGAAGTTTAAGAAGAGGACAAGCACAACAATTCTGATCAAGGAAGCAAGAAAATAATACATGTTGAAGAGAAGAAAAATGGTAAGGATAGTAAGAAGATGAGACAGATTATGGTGATGAAGACAAGATAACGATAATCAATTGAATGATTGGTTTCACGCCTATATTGGTTTTCATTACACACAAACTATCAACTGCAACGGATGCTTGTGAGTTTCAAACCTTAAAGACTATATTACACCTTTGAAGTGTTGTGTTTTTGCTGGTTCTTTGCTCCATGCTATTCTTCTTCTTTTTGATTTCTTATTGTCTTTTGTTCGTTTAGTCCTATTCGTGGCGCATCTTTGTGTCTTAACAAGCACAAACAAGATACTGAAAACCAATCTTCTGATGACAACTGACACTTGTGTCTAAGACCACAACCCTAAGCCATGGCTAGAACCACATAAAATTTGACCCAACAAAGTAATAAAATAAAATAGTTTTATCTGGTACAACTTTAGACCTAATAGAAGAAACAACTGGTACCTCTCAATATTGGGCTTAGAATCATCCTCATCATCATCGTCATCCTCGTCCTCATCTTCTAGGTCAGGCGATATGTCAGAAGTAGAATTCAACTCTGCATCAAGAAAGGCAGCAAAGTCTTCACTGCTTGACAAATGTACCGGAGAATCATTCACAAGACTCATCTGAAATGCCATCCAAGCAATAAGATGACCCCAGTTTCATGCACATAATTTGGAAGGAATGCACAAAAGGAAACGAATGAAGTTATGGGGAAATAAGCATCAATCGAAGCTAAAATTCTTAATTTTGGACCCAGTTCTAGTCCTCCATAACTAAATTCCAATGGAACATAGCCTGTTTTATTGACACATTGGTTTGGAACTAAAGTTCATCTTTCTTTTTATCTTATATAAGAGCACCCATATTTATCCCCTTCATGGGTTGCGACTTCATAATTCATGCTCTCCTAGTCGGCTGTTAGTAAACATTTGTATTAATTGTCAACAAAAATTTTACCCAAGTTCACAATATACAAATTATATACTCCCTCCATCCCAAAATAACAGTCCCTTTTGGGGAATCTAACTTTTTTTTGTAGTACAATTATTGTACTTTAAAAATATTAATTTTTCAAAATTACCCTTTGATGGTACATTGTTTTAAGAATATCAATTGTCATAATTATACTTTTTGCATTGTTAATGAAATTAAAAGAATGACAAAATAGGAAATTCATATTATTTTGGTCTTTGATTTTTTAAAATAGACTAAGATTTTGGGACAATGAAAAATAGAATAAGGTACTAATATTTTGGGACGAATGGAGTATTTATTTTGGTATTCACCTGAACTGACCCATGTTCATCCCTTGCCCCCTAAACTTGAATCCATTGTTCGGTTGAAAAATGCATTTGGTTGTGTTTGGTGGAGTTTTGAAAACTCAATTCCACCCCTTGGTGAGTGTGGTGTATGGTTAGAGTTTTCAAGAATTGATTCCACAACCACTTTTGAAAACACGTCTACCCAGTCATCCTCCCGAATGTCCGGCCGTTTGACAAGAACAGTGTTTGTGTTTTTTTTATTTTTTATTTTTGGCACCTGTTATTTTATATTTTAAATAAAAAATATTTTTAAAATTTTTTATGAGTTTTGAATAGAATTTTGGATTGTGTGTTTGGTTACGAGTTATAAGTTTTTAAATCAAATATCATACGTCACATCAAAAATTTCAAACTCAATTCAAAACTCATTTCAAAACTCATAACCAAATAAAATTTCCACACTCAAATCATAAGTCCAAAACTCACAAACTCAAAATACAACTCTATTCTCAAATTATAATTCTAAAACTCTACCAAAAGCTACCTTTATTTTTTTTCCTTTGTTCTAGTTATGAAACCATTGAACTAGTGGCGGACCCAAAAATCTTAGTTAGAGGGGGCCAAGTTATATACAATTGAAAATAAATTACAAAATTTATTTTATTACATTCTTACAAAAGTTTTGTAGGTATTGTACTAAAATAGTCACTTTTATAAGTATAAAAATTAAATGTTATCATTAAGTTTGCAAATAAATTTCAATCAATATTCAATAGAAATTTACAAAACAAAAAGTATCAAAACAGGATTATAAAGTACTTTTACATATTGTACAAAATAAAAGAATAAAAAATAATAACATATAAATATTTTTTCATAGTCATACTGAGTCATAATTAACACCAATTAAAGACATAATCAAAGGTCATTTTGATCATAACCAAAGCCACCACAAGTCAAAGACCACTTTGAGATATAATCAAACATCATGCATAATGGGACGTAACTAATTTTGATTTAATAATTTGTTGGTCCCACCACATAGTGGTCTATAACCAAACACTATAATGGTTTGTAATTAACATCAATTTAACCTATAACTTACATATGGTATACACTATATGTATTAATTAGGATTTTCAAATGGATGTAGCCCCCCTAGCCACCCCCAGTGTCTGCAGTTGCATTGAACTATGGCCAAACGAAGAAAAATAAAAAAGCCTAATTATATGTGTGTTATGCATGATATACAAATTATGTAAATTATAATACTCAGATTCGCAAGAAGAGTTACGCTCGGTTTGTTTGGGCAGAAAACATTTTGCCAGAGAAAACATTTTTTTTGATGTTTGGTGGAGGTGGAGGTGGGGTGGCAGCAGAGGTGATGGCAGTGGTTGGGTGACATCGGTAAGACTTTAGTCCAAAAAATGTGTCTTCAGCCTTTCGAAGTGGAAAATATTCCTACCCAACTATGTTTGTTTTTTGTTAGACTTTCATTTTCTATTGTACCAAACGCCAGAAAATATGAAAAAACCCAAACAAACGGATTGTTAATAATGATCTGCATTTCCCAAAAACAAAAGCATGAGAATACTTCATTAGACAGATAGAGAATCAAAATTTATGTATATACACATCAATTACATTGAAGCTTACAGAACTACTCGACATTGCTATCCAAGCATTATAGCTATTAAATACTCCACATATTGCTTTGTGTGTGTATCTATATACATGTATATCAACAGAGTTGCAAAGCCGACGAACAGGAGGAGTAAGATTGAGGAGTTTTACCAGGAATTGTGGTGGTCGCCGGTGAGGTTGCGGCGGCAGACGACGGTGCGGTGTAGCTAATCGCCGGAGGGAGGGAAAGGAGGGGGAACAGAATGCCGTTGCAGAGATTTCTAGGGCTTATGTCACAACCCTGTCTTGATTGGAAACTATTCTTCACCAATTAGATAATAATATAGGGTTTAAGATATTTGGTTTTATTTTCAGGATTCCCTTTTTAAGGAAATTGAAATTTTTGGGGTTTCTTGTGATTTTAGCGAATTTTTTATAATATTTTAAGTAATTTTTTTAATTTTTAAATATACTTAACATAAATATATTTAAAAAATATAATATTTGTGAAAAAAATTAAAAATTCCTTACATACTAAAAAATACAAAATATATATATTTAGTATATTTTTCGTATTCTTGTGTATTTGTTGATTTTTTAAAATATTTTTTTACAAATATTTTACTTTTTTGAAATATTTAAGTAAGGTGCATCTAAAAAAATAAAAATAATTTATTTAAAATTATAAAAATATTCACAAAAAACAAAAAAACTTAATTTCTAGAAAATTAAAACTAAATACAATGATTAAATTTGTAACTCATACGTATTGGATTTACCATAATGACTAAATAATTAAATTTAATCTTACATTCTCTTATTTGATCCATATAGTAACTTGTGTCAATATTTAATAAGATAAACATTAGGCGAGTAAATAAATTATATCCAACTTTACTTTAATTTGGTCATCATCACAATACTATAAGAAAAATGATTGATCTACCGAATTTGAGTTCGTCCAAATTTCCCGTATTACATAAGATAGACGTCCGACCGAATGACCTCCAGAATGATCGCCGAAGTCACCTTTGTTAACTACGATTGTCACTCTTGTTTACCGGTATGTCAACCAGCATTCGCCCAAATGACTGGCATGCACAAATTTAGACAATTCAGGCAAACCCAAATACGGTGGATATAGCAATGCTCAATACTATAATTAAATAGTTCAGCAATACGTATCATTGCAGTTCTACACTAATAATGCAACATAGTCGATTTCATATACCACAACATTGGCAACTTATTTAATATAGTCCTTAAGTAAGAAGTGCATGTAAAAGGTCCAATAATATCTTTTTTTATCAAAAACTATTCATGGTATAATTCATTCATTCTCATTAACTGTATTTCTTATATATTTCTCATTATGAATGGCAACTGCTATTTATCCCTACTTTTTCCCTTAGGACCTTTCATTTTTATTTTTATTTTTAAATTATAATTTTGTCAAAACATAAAATTTCATTTCTATCTTTATCTCTAACCCTCTAACCCTACTTTCCTAGACCCTAACCTTAATTCAATCGGCCATCCCTATCACCACTAGCAGCCACCGCTCATCCTCATCTCCACCCTTAACATAAACCGTCTACCTTCTCATTACCCCTAACGACAACCGTCACACCCCACTATGACATCCTCATTCGCGACCTCACCACTCTTCCATTCTGGCATCGCCTAAATCTATCAGCACCACCTCACAGCTTTCTTCTTTGTGAAACCTTAGCCACCGCTGCCTTCTTCAATCGCAAATCCTAGTCGTTGTTTCCTTTTGCAATCGCAAAAGAGAGAGAGAGAGAGAGAGAGAAAATGAGATATCGATCGCAACCAAGCGTGTGAGAGAGAAAGAGAGAAAGGCATTGTTTCTTTTTATTCTTCATCTTCTTCGAAGTCATCATCGTCCTCATCGTCCTCATCTTTGTTGTTGCCATTATAGGGTTGTTCATCTTCTTTTGTCAAGAATTAATAGTTACTTCTTTAGCTTTTCTTTGACAGAGACAATATAGAGATAGAAAGAGAGCTAGAAGCAAAGGGCAAAAAAGAAAGATAGAGAGGTAGACAACGGTGGTGGCGTCAAAGGGATATCACTAAAGGTGGTTGTGTTGTCAACTGTAAAAGAGTTGTCAAAATGGGAGGGGAGGGTAGGGTAGGGTAATGTGACAACCCTCACCACTGTTTACTGATAATACTACTGATTACTGCTAAACTATGACTGAACATGATTAAGTAACTGATTTGACTGACATTCTGAACCGATTGATTGAGTGTATTAGTTTAAGCGCATTTCTATCTGTTTGACTGTTAATTGATCTGTTCATATTTTAAGTGTCGATCTGTGAATTGAAGGCCTTATCGGCGGCCGAATCTGAAATTGATTAGTGTTTCATGTTTATTAGAATTTATGTGATTTTATGGTAAATTTAGTTGAAATTTGATTTGGTATGATTAAATTGGATTAAATAAGCTAAATTACATTGGTTGGACTTATCTACCATTTTGCCACTTAGTGGATTATTCTAGGACCATTTAGTTGACTCATATATGTTAGCCTTAGCACCTCTTCAGCCATTATTCAAGACTCAAAACCCAGAGAGAGAGAGAGAGTGTGTGTGTGTGTGTGTGTCTTGGGAGAGAATTGTTTCATCTTGAAATCTTGACTTGAAAGTTAGAGGAATTGAAGGATAATAGCAAATTGAGCTTCCATTCTTGAAATTAATGACCTAAGGTAGGAGAATCATCTTCTTGAACTTGTATTTAAGTTGTATCTTGCATGTTTCATGGAAGTTTGGTGATTAGAGTCTAGAATTGGTTCAAAATGTTGAATTGAAGCTTAAATCATGCATGTATGTATACATTGTTGAGTTTTGAGGTTGATTTCATGGAAATCCTCACATACATGTCCATATTCTAGCTTTGGTCCATGAATTCAGCATGTTTTTGGAAGGATTGACTCATTTGTTCTTGTATTAGAAGCTTTGAAGTTGATTAAATTCATGCATGTTGCATGTACATCATGTTCTTGAAGTTTTGTTTGGAAATGGGTTCAATTAAACTACCTTTGGGCTTTGATTTTGCAAATTGATCTTTGAAACATGTCATATTATGAGTTTTAAAGTGTTTTCCAGAAAATTAGCCCAAAATAATCGAATTTGATGCTTTAAATGTTGAGTTTCATGCTTGGAGACATATCTGGAAATTCCAGATTTTGGATCCGCGCTCAAGCAGAAAACTCCACGCTCGAGGGTACACTCTGAGTTCATGTAGTCCGCCTGAGCGGGGAAAGTAACGCTCGAGCGTGAAATGCGTGTATCCAGTACTTTGCATGTGTTTACAGTCCGCTCGAGCAAGAGAATGCACGCTCGAGCGAGGACTTGTGTCTCACGCTCGAGCGGGGGTTGAGCGCCGTCGAGCGTGAATTTCATGCATCCAGTACTTTTGCAGTCCGCTCGAGCGAGGAAAGTCACGCTCGAGCGTAGCTCTTTTGTCTGCATGTCCGCTCGAGCGGAGAAAGCCACGTTCGAGCGGGACCCCTATTTCAGCAAAAATTAAAAAAGTGTTTTAAAGTGCATCTTTGCATCCTCATTCCATCCTAGGCATTCATAGGCCTAGTTTAAGACATCTTAATAAGGATAATGCTATAGAACCACACCGAGTCAAGATAGGGACTAAGTTATTGTCTCCCAAACGTGCAACTTAGTGTGTGTTCATCCTGTAACTGTGTTGGGTTGGCATTCGAGGACGCTCATTAGCCTATCTGTAGCCCAGAATTCTGTGAGTAACAATGTTGTAAAGATATATTCAATCATGAATATTTTCTGAATGATCAACTGTACTGCTTTTTGAAATGATATTTCTTACTGAATGAATTTTTGTCCTATTTGCAAACTGTATTCGTGGCATCCATAGTAATTTACTGTTACTGCTATTGTTACAGAGATCTCTGTCGATTCCCATGTTGGAACCACTACTGTTTACTGATATGATGGCCATCAACTGACTGTTCGGTCTGTTAAGACCTACTGTACTGTTTTGCTATGGGATATACCACATATGACTACTATGGCTGAATGACTGATATACTATTATAACTGACTATTTTAAATACTGAAAGGACTTTCATTCTTAACCTCTTTACGCATATGTTATTCACTGGCCTTTAGCTCACTGTTTATATATATATGTAGGTGTCCAAGCACCAGATCGAAGCTAGGAGCGTTGGGTTTAACTCCCTTTTTGTCAAGCCAACCACTGTGTCTCACTGAGAGGTTCTAAGTCCTTCAAGCTAGGGCTTTTGAGGGTGTTTTAGATTCATCATTTCTATCTCTATTTTTGTATAGACTGACTGTGCCTGTATTGTACTGTTCTAATAGGGATTAGATCCCTGTCCTGGATGATTGTATATGTATGTATATACTGTTTTGGTTCTGAATGTGAATATGTTCGAAAAAGTCTTTTTGCATACAGACTGTCACAGCTCATTGGACATCTTTTATTACTGTTTTGACTTCTGCCAGCCCCTGTACTCTGTATTACTGTCTTTACTGTTAAGCAGGCCTTCGGTAATCACAGATTACTGGCCGGTTACGGTGCTAAACCCATAGGGGCGGGTTTGGGTCGTGACAGGTAAGAAGGAGGTTGTTGCTGGAAAGTTGTCGAAGGGGTTACAAGATGGAACTGTCAGCGGTGAGGGCTCCAACGATAAAAAGATTGCAATAGAAAAGTTAAGGATAAAAAGATGAGGGGTATGATTGGAATTAAGGTGAGGGTTTAAAGAGAAAATGGTAAGGACTCATTTAAGTGGATGGGAGTTCAAAAAAATAAGGGGACTAAAGTAAAGTAGTAGAGGCATTTAGTAGCACTCTAAATACAATAAGGACGATAATTTTAAATTAATTATATTGACGTTTATTTAGTAATATTAATTGAATTAAAACTATATACGGTACGAAAATATAAAAATGAACAACATATAATATATATTTTTGTTATATATATAATTAGCAAATGAGAATGAGAACGTGCTCCATATAATTATGTTAAAACTATAATTCTTTTTATATTTTATCCAAACTACAAGAGAGGTTAAAGTAATTTATTCTAAGAATTTATATTAGTGGTAAAATTATGTTGTGATCTCACTTCATTTCTCACTCTGTCTTGAGCTTTGTAGAAATATAACATATTTTAGAATTAATTACCTAAAAGTCCTATTTACAAATGTTATGGTAGTTCATGTTCTATCTAAGAATTTTTTGAACCAGTAAGTCCTATTTTGTAAAACTGAAAATATTATCAATTTTTCTCAATTTTTAAAACTAAGAATACTATCAATCTTGCATAGTAATGTTTTTCACTAACTAATAAAAATAAAAATAAAAACAGAGCATGAGATTAAACGTTTTTATCCTTCTACTTATTGGTTTGATTCAACTA